ATCGTGTGTTTATAAAAATCAATCGTGAAATCCACTAATTGAAAGTACTGCAAAACATTCTCTAACGATGTGATAGTTTTCCTTCCATTTTCTTCTATATTGGGTAATTTACATTGTTTCTCACTGAATTTTATTTCCTCTCCTATTTTACTCATCATACTTTTAATTTTTCTATTTTGCTCACTGAACATTACAAATTAAATCATTTTGCTCACCCTACTGTTAACATTTTACCGTGTTATGACATGACACAAGACTCAAATGATGTCATTTTGAAAAACGCAAATATACACCAAAATGTTGTCGTTTTGAATCCTATTATTTCCCCTAATTACCGTCGTCGATCACCACATTATTTTTCATTCTAGCCACCGTCGACAGTTGTGATGGTGGCCGTTCGGTCCCAAAATTAATGGGTCAATTTTTCTCGACCCCTTGAGTCCGAAGCAGGTAGTTGTTTCACGAAAATGTTCCAAAATCCTTGAATTTCCACTGAAACGTTTTGACTTCCACTTTCAAACTCTGATTTGTGACTTGGGAGCAAATTCTGACAAAATGAAGGTCGGATTCAGACTCAAGATGTCAAGACGAATCAACCAATGAAATTTGGGATCGAACGACGACCATCTACGAAGGTCGACGGTGGCAGAAGGTGGCATCGACCACCTTCTGTTTTTAATTTATAATTGGGTGAGCAAAATATGAGAGAGAGTAAAGTTCAGTGAGGAACGATATTATTTACCCTTTATATTTTCAGTTATTTTATATTAAATATAATGACATGTCATTACAACTTTAAAGAGGTAACGACAGAATGAACAAAATAATTTAATCTGTAAAGTTTAACGAACAACGATGTAATTTACCTTTTAATTTATTGAATTATGTTAAATAAGAATAATATATAAATAACAACAGTTCGATTGGATAAATACTTTTGTCAATAAAAATTTTATATAATGAGTGATTTGCAAGTATTATATTTAGCATGGTTATCAAAATCGGACGGACCGACCGATTCAATCGGTTGAACCGTGAACCGGTGGCCTATTCGGTCCGGTTACCTCACAAAATCGGGCTGACAATGAACTGGCTGAAAACCGGTTCAAAATATAATATTAAAACTTGAACTCGAAAAGGCTCGAACTCAAAAAAAAATTAGAAGTTCGATTAAAGCTTAAAATTTGAGCTCAATTGTAGCGAAAGAATAGTTCGCTCCGTGCTCACCAAAAGGCTCCATGATTTTGAATATCAAATTACCTCTATTATTTATAGAAGTAAGTTGGGATGCTCTTATATGTTTCTTAGCCATGTGGGATTGTTTTGTTCTCATATTTTACTCTTTAAACTTTTGGGATGCTCTTCTATGTTTCTTAGCAATGTGAGATTGTTTTTTTATAAAAAAAAAATTAAACCAAATGACATCATTTGTTATATTTTTAAGTCCCAATTTTATTTTTTTGATTATAGTTATATAATTATATTTATTATTTAATTTATTTTACCTTAAATATTATGTTGTAGTTGATTTGAATCATTTTGTTTCACTTGATTTTATGGTTTTTAATTTATACATGTTATGACTTGTGATGTTTTTATACATTTTAATATTGTAAACTTAAAAAAAGTGTTATATATATTAATATTTTTTTGAATATTATATAAAATTAAAAAAAAAATATTTTATATAAAATTTAGTTTAACCGCGGTTGAACCCGGTTGAACCAGTAAACCAGTACCTTCACCGGTTTAATGTCCGGTCCGATTTTAAAAACATTAATATTTAGTCTTTAAAATATCTAATTAAATTAATATTAATATAATTGAATTTTCCTCTTCTAGAAAAATAATTTTATGAAAATAAAAATTTAATTACAGAAGGTCTCTTTTTAGAAAACATAATAATCTTTTACATACTCTTAATCAAAACATGAAGCCACATTCACATTTATATCACGCGCCAAAGGGTTTTCAAATGATCGAACGAACAAATGCTACAATAATTTCACATATATATATATATTAGAAGTTAAATATAAATTAAAACCTCGTTAGCGGTGTTGAGAAGAGCAGGTAGCCGTTTAAGACGTGGGGCCATAACACAGATCACCAAGGCGGTGTTTGCGCGTCCCAAAAGCCAACTCGTTCGTACCAGCTGCCTCTTACATATAGAATAGAATCTCTCTCTCTCTCTCTCTCTCTCGTCCCCAAATTGAGTTGATTAATGAAATAGTTTCGCACAAGTAAGTGATTTCTATCCGGAAAGAATAGTTGTTATTTCTTAATAATTTGGATTTAAATATTATAAATATTAAAGGTGTAAATTTTTAATGTCAAAAGGTCGAGAATTTATCTTTAAACACATAATATCTTATACTTAATTAAATTAATAAAAAAATTCAATTTTTTTTTGAAAAAAATATATTGTTACTTATTATTTAGGATAAACTAATATTATTAATCACCATGACACTATCTCTTATTTTAGTCATAATATTCTGTTTTCTATAATTGGTTATTAATATCACGTTTTCCCCCTTATTTTAGTCATTAGATGTTAATTTCGATCATTAATTTAATATAAATGGTAACATGATATAATATAATAATAGTTATAATATTTAAAATTTATATGAATATAAAATAATTTAATAAACTTAATTTTTAATATTCAAAATTATATCATTTTAGTAACTCCCTAATTCAAGCCTTAACCTTATTGTCGTCATCACCGTCAACCACCATCCAAAATTATCGTTATTTTCTCCGGAAGGTTCACCTATCATGCTTCCTCCCTCCTACCCTTTTTATTTTAGTTTTAATTTGATTTTATTAGTTGATTTCAATTGCCAAAACAACCCTTCGGAAGCCCGAATCAAATCTTGACCTAAGTGAACGATTAACATTTTTGGAGTCGATGCCGACCTTTTGGATTAGATAGATTCAGATATCTAAAATTACTTTTTTGCCATATTTTCATCTAACATATATTAGTTAGGATTGATTCAAGATTCGATCACGTGTGAGGAAGGATGAACACCATTGTAGTGTTCGGAATCATTACCAACACAACTATATGTTGTCTTAATAGCTGAAATTAAAATTCGAGCAAGAAAGTCAAAAGAAAAGGAGAAGGTCATTTGATTGAAGCACTGGATCCGCTGGTGACTTCTTCAAGCAAGTCGAAAGAGAAGGAGGTCATTTGAATTTTAGGCGCAGAGTAGTAGTTGTATCGATGAAGCTAGGTATTATTATGAGTTTTCATGATTCGTAGTATTATTTAGGAAAGTTGAAATGAGATAAACTCATGTTCTAAGTTCTTTAGTAAGAGATTTGCACCTTACCTTGATTTAATTTATAGTGTATATATTTAAAAATATGTGTCTGAGAGAAAGTTCTAGCACGATGAACATGAATTGATCCCAATTTTGAATGCACCTTACGTGAGTTATTAAGTGGTATGTGATTAGGTATATAATTTTGCAAGTATACGTTGCATCAAGGTATGCAATAAAGGCAATAAAGTCCCTACACGAAGTGGAAAATACATAGCAATGTACATGATTTCAAATGAATTTACAGTAGTAATTGGTGCATTTGAAAATAATATACCTAATCATGAGCGTTTATTGCATCGAATGTGGATAATAAACCATCGAAAGATAAAGGTAAAGATATCAAGGATAGGAGAACTTCAACGCTTAAAGACTCGAGAACATTCAAAGAAGCTCTACGACCCTAGGTACAGTAAGTCCTAACATGAAGCATCAGACCAGAAGTGGTGCTACTCCTATAGATGATATTCAAGTGAGGTTAGTGGACGAGCTACACAATATTGATGAGCTCCAGGGCGAAGCGGGATCAAGACACATGTGCGTTTTAAAAACTGAATTAGAATGGAGAAGTCGATGTCTTGTTGGCCAGATTATGGGGATGTATAACCCAGAAATCGTTTAGGACGCATTAAGATCGGATGGTTTCGATGTGAAGGTTAGTCCATGGCACAGGCTATTGACGATCATTCAATTCACGAGTACGGAGGAGCTAACCAGGGTATGGCGTAGGCGAGAAAGGTTAATGCGTACTTAGTTTGTGAAATTAGAGAGATTAGAAGGCTATGAGGGGAAGATGAAGGTGAAAGTATGGATGGTTTTACAAGATGTTCCATTGGAAGTTTAGAGTGATAGATTCTTCTCAGAGCTTGGAAGCAGATGGGGTTCTATTATTAGAACTGATGATGACACGGTCAACCGTAATAGGTTTAATGAAGCCAGAATTTTAATGTCAGTTTAAAGAGTTTTCATTATCCCAGACAGAGTTAGCATAGTAATCAATGGAAGAGTTTTCACGATCAAGATTAAAGTTGGAGATTTTGATGGTGATCAGACTTTTCGACCAAAAACCCTAATTTCGATTAAGTCACTTTGCGCCTGAGCTTTTTTTTTACAGAGTTTAGAACCTTATTCTTGAATTCTTTAACAAAGTACAATGCTAAAAATTCTGTTGCTATCTTCTATTATCTTGTCTACCTGACATGTAGCACAACAGTCAATTTTATTAGTACTAAACTTTTTATTCAACGGTAACTATGGTAAGGTTGTATCTGGGTTTGGGTAAGGTTGCATCTGGGTTTGGGCAGGAGGACACCAAAAAAGTGAAGAACTAAGCTTGATAATGACGTGTGTAATCACCAATAAGATGAGATGGAGAGAAGGTTAATTATTAAACTTTATTATCTTTTGGACAGAACAATCATACATACTGAAATAACAAATTAGCACATACTAATGTATAACCCAAAGATGAAACTAACTAACGAGCAGTTGTAAGTAACGAACTAACTAACCCATCTAACATAAATCAGCTTCGTATCTAACTGATAGTTTTCTTAACGCTGTTTCTCATGATATCTTCCTTCCCTTTGCAGTTTTTATGTATTTATATTTTATGGCTTCTCCAAGCCGACATCAAGTCTTTCCTCCTTTGGTTCCGCCTAATGTTTAAGTGCAGGGAACCCCAGAACGCTTGATCCAGACATCACCGGCGTCGAAGAACTTAGGAGGAAGGTATTGAGCAGCGTTCCCCTCCGTCATCATCTTAACTCCAGGTAATTTAACTCGCTTGGATGTGGCAGCACCAGGCCAACTGTTTTTGAACTCGAGGTACTTGCAGTTTTTGGTTCCCAAAGCCGATGCCATGTCTGTCCAACCGTCTGGGTGCACCATATCATCGATGTAAGTTTCCATTATAATCGTTGTTGACAGAGTCCCCCACGAGCGATCAAGGTATACCGGGAACTGTTTCTTCACCGGAGAAAACTCAGGAGCAGGAATGATTTGGCCGCCATGAATAACAATCCCCGTCGGCTCTTTACTATCATTTCTCTTTTGTGCCGTAATAACGTTTTGCTTTCCCTTTTGTGGCTTCCGGACGAGGAACGTGCAATTCTGGAAAATCACCGACGCATCACCGAATATGAAATCGATTGTTCCGGAGATGGTGCTGTCCCCATAGAATTGTCGTTCAACGCCACCGCTTGCTTTTTCATCGGCCCTGCTGAGTTCTCGAAAGCTATGTTTTTGGCAATGAAGTTGTTTGCATCCACAGCTACAACCCAATATATAAGATTATCATTCCCATATTCATAATCATAAACTATGCATTTGTATAAATATATATAATTACCGAATGTTGCGGTGAAGTAGGTGGTGGGATTTCCATCCGGACCGGAGTTGATACTTCCCGTGATCAGGGTTTTTGTCTTTACCATATCCGATACTAGTACCACGTACGCCATTTCAGCAGGGATTTCCATATGCTCGGCGCAAACTCCTTCCTTGACGTGTATCAATAAGGCCTTGGTGGATTACGGGGGGATTTTTTTGTTTGGCTTCATTTAGGGTTTTGCAGTCTACACTGCCGTCCTAGGCCACGACAAGATCGGGCTTCAAATCAGCCTACAACAGTCTCCGAGCTCTTTCTGGTATATTTAGCCCAATATCTTGGAGTAGCCGACGACGATTCCATCCTTGATTCTTTTCTCTAAACGAAGTCCAATCAGAATGGCCGAGAACCGGAAGTCTATCCTCATCTTGTAGTAGTGGACGACGGCGATTCCGGTTCCCATTCCTTTCTCAAAACGAAGTCCAATCAAAATGGCGGAGAACCGGGAGTCGATCCTCATCTCCGAGTAGACGACAGCGGCGGCGGCGTTCGAAGAGTCCCTCAACCTGCAATTGCTGAAGCTGGTCTTCTAACTCACGCGATTGCAAGTCCATTTCTACCGAGTTGCATCGTGATATTGAGAAGCTTCTTCATTTTGCGTGAAGCATGGGTTTTGGATTTCGTTTTTTCGAACCCATCTAAACAAGCTTGTTGGTAAGCAATGGTAGCACTCAACCAAATCTTCAAATAACCCAATAGTTTATGAACGTTGATGACATCTACATCCTCAACCACATCAAATGATTTTTCAAGTTCGCGTACAGTGTCATGCAATAGAATTTTGCATGCATCAAAAGCACTTTTGGTCCCTTCATCTTCCTCAAGTTCCCTCAGGTACGTTGAGTTCTCCACTGCTTGATTCACATGCTTCATCGTTGCCTTAAACGCTGCTCGAACCAGGTCTCTAACGTCCGTCCTATTTCCGGCTTCTTCCGAGAGTTGTTCTTCACATGTATCCTTGAACTCCGTTGGTTCACAAATCAACTGGACCGCCTTCTTGGAGGAAGAGACCATTGCATTTTTATTCCCATTCGTGGTTTCTTCGTCTAACTCGGTTTCTTTCTTTCCGCCGACCCCAACCACCACAGCCACAAAGAGGCAAGAACTGACGGAGATGATTGCGATACTCCTCGTCTTCTGAGACATCCTCAGGGTCAGCCAATGTTGGAATATATAACTTTTATTGGAAAAAAAAAAGCAATAATAGAGGAGCAGCAAATATATATCTATTTTGTATAACTCCTTCGAAGGTGATTGAAAGCCGATTTTCTTAGTTAAAATAACATGATCCATTATGGGTTAGGGTTATTTTTAACGTCATAAAACTGGAGCTTCGGCAACCAATTCGCAAGTCAAAATGATTTTAGTCGAAAATGTGGTCGAAATCATCGGCCACAAATTATTTTTAGCTATCCATTTAAAAAACAATCAAATCACTGAATTGGTCTTGCACTTGTAAATTGTAATTGGTTTCAGATAGATTTGTAAGTTAAAGAATTTATAGTTTAAACAAATTAAAACCTTCATGCAACAGTTTGTAAAAAAAATGTAGCTATGCAGTTATATATATAATTTTAAATTTCTAATGTCACGTCCATAGTATAATAAGCTACATAATTTTAATTTAAATAAAATTTTAAAAAATAATTACATTGAATAATAAATACCAACAATAAGTTGGTTTAGTGGGATGAGGCACTAGATCCCTAGCAAGGTTAGGGATTCGAATCCTGACGATTGAGAATGGAGTAATATGTTTGGGAGGGATATCCTTGTCTCTGCAGTACCCAATCTAGATTAATCGATCAATAAATCGGATATCGGTAGTTATAAAAAAAATACATTAAATAATAATCTCATTGTTCTAATGGTTAAGTAGCATTTACATCCCGCTGTCAATGGTTTGAACTGGAGATGGTAAATGCATTTGGTCGGAGTTTAAAAATACCTTTGCATGCTTGAATCTGACTTGGAAATTTGATTGATTGTACATCTCATAGGGTTATCTGCTTAATACATATTGTTATGCATCCTTGTATATGCGGAGATTTTCCTGATATATCACCGGTGACCGGTAATATTATCGATCTAACACCGGTCAGACTATATTTCCCGATTTAACACCCTTAGCAGTAAAGCGCGCCCTCTGTACCGCGCTATACGATGATTTGGCGCCACGTGGGGTATAGCGCGCCCCCTGAACCGCGCTATACGGTGAGCTGGCGCCACGTGGGTATAGCGCGGCCCCTGCAGCGCGCTATACGCCACGTAGGGGTATAGCGCGGATCAGGAACCGCGCTATACCTTTACTCCCGACATAATTTTATATAGCGCGGGGCAGGTACCGTGACATACCTTTACTCTGACATAATTTTATATAGCGCGGATCAGGTACCACGTTTTGTATAACTTTCCTCGCTATAAATACCATTCTCCGCCGGTTAATTTCTCACATCTCTCCTCTCAACTTATAAATTAATACAACAATTCCGTCAACCAGTCAATAATTCTGGCAATCTTCTCATATTTTATTTAGAAGTTCGTGCGATTTTTTTGTTATAAGGTAATTTTGTTATAATTTTTTATTATATTTATTGTTTATTATGATTATTTGAAAAAAATATTATACTAATTATTTTCAATTAATTTTTGTGTTTGTAAAATTGGAAAGCGGGAGCATACATCGAAATAGTTTTGCAGTGCATGTAATAATATTAAATTATATTATTTAATTTATTTACGTTGATGTGTAAAAATTTTATTGTGTTATATGTTCGTTTATATATAATTTATTAAATCAGGTTTGTTTCATTTATTTTTTTGCAGATTTAATAGTGCCACACTTTTAAACTCAAATAATGGCGCGACTTTCAGTTATTGTTTATTATGATGGTGAAATTCGAGAAGATGAAACCGGCGATGTTTTCGTATCAAATGAGCGTGTTAAAATATCATTCAAGATAAACATAACTCTTGAGGAGCTGATAACGAAGATTTCGAGGAAGATTCATGTTGGAAGTAATAGAAGAGTCGTCGTTGCAGTATAGATTTCAAACATCATTGTTGCCATTAACTTATACAACGTTTGAACTTTCGAACAATGATGATGTTGAAATGATGGTTGAAGCTTAAAGTAATTATTCAGACACTGCTATTGAGATGTATGCACATTTTGTTCAAGTGCGTGCTGTTCGGGGTCAATCATTAAGCTCCCACTATGGGCTGACTGAACAAGTTGATCAAGTTGACAGCCCGACGACAGTAATGTGTAATGATTTTAATGCCATAATGGGGAGACATTCATCCGCAACTCCTTACGATATGTACCGAGGTAGGTTCACGAACAATCCGTATGGCAACATCGCGTCCAGTTCAAGGGGAAGGCATTCATCTGCAAATCCCTTTGACCTTAATATGGAGATGCCATCGACGCAACCATCTGTGTAGTTTCCATTTGACACGATGGCTTCAAGCTCTAGGGGGAGGCATTCGACTACGAGCTTTTTCGATCTCAATGTCGATATGCCTTCCAGTTCAAGGGGAAGGCGTGCAAGTAGTAGGTTCTTCGACCTAAATGTGGAGAGCATGGAGGAACCATCATCTCCACCAGAAGAATCGCTTCGTGAGCCTGGTGCGGATGGTGTTGAGACTGGACTATTCATTGACCCAGAATCACCGCAATTCAACTCCGATGATGATGAAGTTCCAGGAAATGTGGCACAAACTGACCCTCCTAAACACATGTATGAAGCTGATTATGGTGCAATGTACGGGCCAGAATTTGCGGATATGCCTCATCTCGGTGACTATGGGTATTACTCATTAATAAATAATGGTGAGTTATCTTTATGCATGGAGTTTTCAAGCAAAGAAGAAGCGATGGTGGCTATAAAAAATTACAATATCCGTAATTCTGTTCAGTCCAGAGTAGACCGCTCCACGACCGAAAAATATGTATGCTACTGTGCCCAGCGCGAAAACGGATGCAATTGGATGGTTCGCGTATCGAAGAGGAAGAGGAAAAACAACAGATGGGAACTAACAGTCCTCACACATGTTGTGCTGGAGGGGTCAACCAAGATCATCCCAACTTGGACTCTGAAGTGATATTCCAAGCCATCATGCCCATGGTCAAAGCAAGCTCTCATATAGCTGTTGCAGTGTTGATTTCAGCTATACAATCGCAGTATGGGTACACTGTCTCCTATAAAAAAGCTTGGTTGGCAAAACAAAATGCCATTGTCAAACTTCATGGCAAATGGGATGCATCTTACAACGAACTTCCAGGTTGGTTTAGGCTGGTGCGAACGTTGAATCCTGGGACAATTGTGTCAAAACCTACTATGCATACCATAATGATCGAGTTCTTCGTGATCGATGCCAATTTACCGGGTTTTTGGAGTTACCCACAATGCGTTAATGCTGTCAAATACTGCAAGCCTGTGGTCCAGATCGACGAGACTTTCTTGTATGTAAAATACAAGTTTTATTATTGGCAGTTGTCCAAGATGGCAATCGGAACATTCTTCCAGTTGCTTTTTCTATTGTCGAAGGAGAAGATACAGCTTCTTGAGCTTTTTTCCTCCGAAATTTATGGGCACATGTTATCACGAGGGAAAACATTTGTGTCATTTTAGATCGCGGAGCTGGGATCAAAGCAGTAATTGAGTCTTTGGGTCCAATGTGGTACCACCCTTTGTCCAACATAGGTATTGTCTTCGACACATTGCCGCGAACTACCATGGAAGGTACGTGAGCAATTAATTGTGCGCATGGGTAAGTGAAACTTAGCAAGTTTGTTTTCTTTCGATCGTTTTAATTTTGCAAAGACAACAAGTTAGTAAGTTATACATTTTTTGTTCAGGTTACGAACTACTTCCTCGAACGTTTGAATCAATGTTTCAAGAGTTGCGGGCGAAGAACGAGGAAGGATATGATTATATCAGCCTCATCGATAAAGAAATATGGACGAAGCATATGATGGTGGATATCGATATGGAAACATGACGACCAACTTGGCAGAGGCAATTCAATTCAACCTTAAAGGGTGCACGTCACTTACCAGTAGCGACTTTGGTAAAGACTACATATTTTCATTTGGGGGCACTTTTTGCGAAGCTCGGGGACAAGCTCAAACCTGGATGCAAGACGGTCATGTCTATCACCCTAAATTAGTTGCAGATCTACAAAAAAAAATTGCTACATCAAATGGAATGTCTGTAACAAGCTTCTCTAGAAGGCATGAAATGTTTCATGTCACAGAGTTGCCGCGACCTCTTCAAGGGATTGAAGTTGTGTCGTTAAGAGTAAATCTAAGGGACAGAACGTGCGACTGCGGGTTTTTTCAGGCTCTGAAGTATCCATGCTCTCATGTGATAGCAGCTTGCTCGCATACACGTCAAGACTATAACCATTTTGTGGATCCCGTATACCTACTATCTGAAGTTTTTAAGGTATACGAATTTGAGTTTCCCCCCATAGGTAATGACAAAGACCCTGGTGAGGTTCAAGATTGGCTTCCGATTATACCAAATCCGAGTTTATTGAGGGAGTGTGGTTGTCCAAAATCCAATCGAATTCATTGCGATATGGATATTAGAGAAAGATCTAGACAAGACAGAAGATGTGGACATTGTAGAAACCAGGACACACTAGAAAAAAAATGTCCACTTCTGTTGTCATCAAGTAACAATTGATGAGGAAATGTTGTATTTTATTGTTAAATAATAATTCTTCTACTTTAATTTTCATTTACTTCAAGTTAATGTCATTTGATAATCATCGATGAAGATTAAAAAACAAACACAATCATTAAATTTTAACAAACTAATAACAATAAGTATTAAATGGTAAATGATAACCAAATTACAATAACTGATATTAAATGGTAATAAAAAAAACGAATTGAAATACAATAAAAAAGTCAAACAAATTTAATAAAATAAAGTAAGTATTAAATGAGAAATAATAAAAAAATTACAATTTAACAAAATAAAGTAAATACAAATATAATAAAAAACAAAATCTATCGATGCCTGCGACGCGAATGTTCCGCAGGGCGGTGGCTGTCGGTCTCGAGGAGGATTTCTTCGTATCACTGGTTCTGACTCCTCATTGTCATCATCATCACCGTCATCGTCGTCGTC